CTGTAGGACTATGATCACAGTTAAGACAATACTGTAGGATTATGATCACAGTTAAGACAATACTGTAGGATTATGATAACAGTTAAGACAATATTGTTGGATTATGATCACAGTTAAGACAATACTGTAGGACTATGATCACAGTTAAGACAATACTGTAGGATCATGATAACAGTTAAGACAATACTGTAGGACTATGATAACAGTTAAGACAATATTGTTGGATTATGATCACAGTTAAGACAATACTGTAGGACTATGATAACAGTTAAGACAATATTGTAGGATTATGATCACAGTTAAGACAATACTGTAGGACTATGATCACAGTTAAGACAATACTGTAGGACTATGATCACAGTTAAGACAATACTGTAGGATTATAATCACAGTTAAGACAATACTGTAGGACTATGATAACAGTTAAGACAATATTGTAGGATTATGATCACAGTTAAGACAATACTGTAGGATCATGATAACAGTTAAGACAATACTGTAGGACTATGATCACAGTTAAGACAATACTGTAGGACTATGATCCCAGTTAAGACAATACTGTAGGATCATGATAACAGTTAAGACAATACTGTAGGATTATGATCACAGTTAAGACAATACTGTATACTGTAGGACTATGATCCCAGTTAAGACAATACTGTAGGATCATGATAACAGTTAAGACAATACTGTAGGATTATGATCACAGTTAAGACAATACTGTAGGATTATGATCACAGTTAAGACAATACTGTATACTGTAGGACTATGATCACAGTTAAGACAATACTGTAGGATTATGATCACAGTTAAGACAATATACTGTAGGATCATGATCACAGTTAAGACAATACTGTAGGACTATGATCACAGTTAAGACAATATTGTAGGACTATGATCACAGTTAAGACAATACTGTAGGACTATGATCACAGTTAAGACAATATTGTAGGACTATGATCACAGTTAAGACAATACTGTAGGACTATGATCACAGTTAAGACAATATTGTAGGACTATGATCACAGTTAAGACAATACTGTAGGACTATGATCACAGTTAAGACAATATTGTAGGACTATGATCACAGTTAAGACAATACTGTAGGACTATGATCACAGTTAAGACAATACTGTAGGATCATGATAACAGTTAAGACAATACTGTAGGATTATGATAACAGTTAAGACAATATTGTTGGATTATGATCACAGTTAAGACAATACTGTAGGATTATGATCACAGTTAAGACAATACTGTAGGATCATGATCACAGTTAAGACAATACTGTAGGATTATGATCACAGTTAAGACAATACTGTAGGATCATGATAACAGTTAAGACAATACTGTAGGACTATGATCACAGTTAAGACAATACTGTAGGATCATGATAACAGTTAAGACAATACTGTAGGATTATGATCACAGTTAAGACAATACTGTAGGACTATGATCACAGTTAAGACAATACTGTAGGACTATGATCACAGTTAAGACAATACTGTAGGACTATGATCACAGTTAAGACAATACTGTAGGATTATGATCACAGTTAAGACAATACTGTAGGATTATGATAACAGTTAAGACAATATTGTTGGATTATGATCACAGTTAAGACAATACTGTAGGACTATGATCACAGTTAAGACAATACTGTAGGATCATGATAACAGTTAAGACAATACTGTAGGACTATGATAACAGTTAAGACAATATTGTTGGATTATGATCACAGTTAAGACAATACTGTAGGACTATGATAACAGTTAAGACAATATTGTAGGATTATGATCACAGTTAAGACAATACTGTAGGACTATGATCACAGTTAAGACAATACTGTAGGACTATGATCACAGTTAAGACAATACTGTAGGATTATAATCACAGTTAAGACAATACTGTAGGACTATGATAACAGTTAAGACAATATTGTAGGATTATGATCACAGTTAAGACAATACTGTAGGATCATGATAACAGTTAAGACAATACTGTAGGACTATGATCACAGTTAAGACAATACTGTAGGACTATGATCCCAGTTAAGACAATACTGTAGGATCATGATAACAGTTAAGACAATACTGTAGGATTATGATCACAGTTAAGACAATACTGTATACTGTAGGACTATGATCCCAGTTAAGACAATACTGTAGGATCATGATAACAGTTAAGACAATACTGTAGGATTATGATCACAGTTAAGACAATACTGTAGGATTATGATCACAGTTAAGACAATACTGTATACTGTAGGACTATGATCACAGTTAAGACAATACTGTAGGATTATGATCACAGTTAAGACAATACTGTGGGATCATGATAACAGTTCAAAGACAATACTGGCAAGTTATGATCACAGTTAAGACAATACTGGCAAGTTCTTGATCACGGATTAAGACAATACCTGTGGGATTATATGATCACAGTTAAGACAATACTGTATACTGTAGGACTATGATCACAGTTAAGACAATACTGTAGGATTATGATCACAGTTAAGACAATACTGTATACTGTAGGACTATGATCACAGTTAAGACAATACTGTAGGATTATGATCACAGTTAAGACAATACTGTATACTGTAGGACTATGATCACAGTTAAGACAATACTGTAGGATTATGATCACAGTTAAGACAATACTGTAGGATCATGATAACAGTTAAGACAATACTGTAGGACTATGATCACAGTTAAGACAATACTGTAGGATCATGATAACAGTTAAGACACAATACTGTGGGATTATGATAACAGTTGAGACAATACTGTGGGACTATGATCACGAATTAAGACAATACTGGCAGGATCATGATGGCAGTTAGACAATACTGGCAGGATTATGATAACAGTTGAGACAATGCTGTGGGACTATGATCACAGTTAAAGACAATACTGTAGGATCATGATAACAGTTAAAGACAATACTGGCCAGGATTATGATCACAGTTAAGACAATACTGTAGGATCATGATCACAGTTAAGACAATACTGTAGGATTATGATCACAGTTAAGACAATACTGTAGGATCATGATAACAGTTAAGACAATACTGTAGGACTATGATCCCAGTTAAGACAATACTGTAGGATCATGATAACAGTTAAGACAATACTGTAGGATTATGATCACAGTTAAGACAATACTGTAGGACTATGATCACAGTTAAGACAATACTGTAGGATTATGATCACAGTTAAGACAATACTGTATACTGTAGGACTATGATAACAGTTAAGACAATATTGTTGGATTATGATCACAGTTAAGACAATACTGTAGGATTATGATCACAGTTAAGACAATACTGTAAGACTATGATAACAGTTAAGACAATATTGTTGGATTATGATCACAGTTAAGACAATACTGTAGGACGATGATAACAGTTAAGACAATACTGTAGGACTATGATAACAGTTAAGATAAAACTGTAGGACTATGATAACAGTTAAGACAATACTGTAGGACTATGATCACAGTTAAGACAATACTGTAGGATTATGATAACAGTTTAGATAATACTGTAGGACTATGATAACAGTTAAGATAATACTATAGGATTATGATAACACTTATACTGTAATACCAGCATTAGGGAATCACCACAGCATTACAATAACACATGCACCAGGACAAATCTATAAAAGTAAGACAATACTAGCACAGATAAAACCTGGATAACAATAGGACAACACTAGGAGAGCATTGTAGCACTAGGGCAGTATTGTAGCACTAGGATAACACAAGGACAACATTGTAGCGCTAGCATAAAACAAGGACAACACTGTAGCACTAGAATAAACCTGTAGTATCAGGATAACTTCAGGACACTACTGTAGTAATTGGATAACGTTAGGACAACAAAGTAGCACCAGAAAACACATGACAAAACTGTAGGAGTAAGTTAACTTTAGCACCAAGACAAAGTTGCAGCAACAGAACATGACCTACGGTGCCACACCCTCCACGTCGAAGTACCTAAACTCCACCTTAACCCTCTGGTGCCGGAGGCCACGGAAGATGTAGTGACACACTGTATTCCGTGGGTATGTTCCTGTAGGGGGAGGCCAACAAAAGTGTAGAGACGTCACGAGAGGTGAAGAGATGTAAACGGCTCATCATATATTGAGAGGTCACAATAAGTAAAGAAAGGTCACTCGGCATTAGGAAGTATGAGAGGCAGGAAGTCACCAGAGATTCAGTAAAATATTACTAATGGTAAAGAAAATCACCTCAGGTTAACAGATCTCACCTAAAATCAAAGGGAAGGGATATATGGAAGCAAAAATGACGTCTGGCAGGAAGTAAGTGAAGTCAGGAAAGGTTCACGGACGCATAAATAAACAGAAAAAGACCGTCTCTCATCTATTCGGGTAAACTACAGCTAAATACTCCTGTAGACATAATACATATTACTGATTAGAGACCAAATGTAAGCCTAAGCATAGGACGTTCCTGGAAATAAAGCACCCGACAGCTTTGTCGGCTATTCTTGGTCAAGTTGCTGTTTACCTGCACTGTCTCGGCACACAGGAAACTGTATACTGTACTCCTACTGCTTATGTGCACCGTATACCAACATTGTCTATATTCATGCTGCATTGCATAATTTATAAACATGCCTTTCCAAAAAACATAATAAGCATAATTTAAGCATTTAGCTAGCTGATGTAACCTACTATAATTACATCATTATTATATAGTATACAGGCAGTGAAAAAACGAGACAATTTATTTAAATACGGTAAAGTACATTTATTTTCCAAGAACCCAGGTGATAGTCCCCGTCATATGACTTTTTAATCTGGGGCAGCTGGGGACTCACGTCAGCCGGCGGCGGTATTCCCATGTCATCGTAAGGTCTAACTTCATAAGCCTAGCTTTATCTGGGGACAGCCAAGCATGTCCTAAAAAAAAATATATATATATATGGAAACTTGAGTGTTAGGTACCGTACTTCCATCTATACCTAATATGTAATGTACGTTTCTGCAAGGGGACGATGCCTAGAAAGGGGGTGTGGGTCTGACCGCAATACATAATTTACAATACAATAATACAGTACGTACTGTATACTATATAACCTACAATAATACATATCACAACCATACATAATACAAACACATGTAAGATGAAAAAGAACAAACAAACATATAAATGAACAACTCGTTCCTTGAACGAGCTGACTACCTAATGAGTATACTGTATATACTAGCCACAAATTACACTCGAAACATACAGTCAGCTAAAAGGTTGTCCTTCCCCTTTATGTGTCGTATTTCTAGATTAAATTGCTGCAGCATGAGTGACCAATGCATTAGTCTCTGATTTCGATTTTTCACCTTGTCTAAAAATTTGAGTGGGTTGTGATCGCTATACACAATCACTGGGTGAACAGCACGACACAAATATACATAAAAACTTTTCCAAAGCAATCATCAGTGCAAGCAATTCTGTTTTAATTGCTGAATAGTTTTTTGGGGAGTTTCTTGAGTCTGGAAGATAAATAACACACAGGGTGGAATAAGTTATCAGCAGATCCAGCTTGTAGTAATACAGCACTGGTTCCATTATCTTTGGCGTCAATGTGCAGGCAAAACTGCTTTTCAAAATCTGGAGTCTGTAACACAGGAGCACTGGGCAGCAGTGACTGGACTCGCTCGAAGGACGTTTGGCACTCTGGGGTCCACTTGAACTGCTTCTTAGGGTTGGTTGGCTAGGTTTGTGAGGGATGCTGTTACCTGTCCGAAGGTTGGGCAAAACCTGTGGTAATAACCAACCATTCCAATGAAACGCAGGAGAGATTTGCGGTCCGCAGGTCGTGGGAACTGCTGAATGGCTTCTATCTTCACATCTTCTAACCTAAAGAAGAGGGCCCTCAATCTTGATAAGTGTTTTTCCCAGTTGGACGATACCATCACCCCTTCCAAACCTGTGACGACAGAGTTGACGAGACGCTGGAAGGTGGCAGAGGCGTTACGCATACCAAACGGCATGACTCAGTACTGGTAAAGGCCAACTGGAGTTACGAACGCAGATATTTTCGTTGCCCTCTCCATCAACTCCACCTGGTACAGTAGTATCCTTTAAGTACGGTAAATCCACTTCATGACGAATTCTGCTTGGCCAATACCATCATCCAGTCTGGATAGTGGAAAACAGTCGGGAAGGGTGATAGCGTTGACCTTGCAGTATAATCAGTGCAAAGCCTTTGACTACAGTCAGGCTTCGGCACCGGCAAGCACGCTGACGACCATTCACTGTTGCTCGGCTCCGCCAAACCATTTACAAGAATGAAGTCCACCTCCTCTCCCAGCTTCTTCGCCTTCGTGGGATTCATCCGGTAATAGGGTTCTTTGATAGGAGATGCACTGTCAACCAGGAGGACTCCATGAACTGCAATGGTTTCAGATGCTGCAATTTAAACTTAATATTAGCCAAAATATCACTATTATACAACTTGACAGGCTGGTCCAGGCAACAATCTTCAGGCACAACTTCATTGTCTGGCACTTGATCCTGGATTAGTAGTCTCTGATTCTCTAACGTGATATGGCTTCAACAGATTGACATGAACCAGATGCTCAGTTCTATGATCAGGGGTTTCTAACACATAATTTACATCATTAACTTTTTTTTAATTCTATAAGGACCATAATAACTTGACTGCAAGGAGTTTTTTGCCAGAGGTAGGAAGAGTAGCACTAGTTCTCCAGAACTGAAGGTCCATTCTACTGCCTTCTTGTCAAAATTTTCCTTCATTGTAGCTTGAACATCTTTCGGAAGGTGCTCCCCGACATTTTTTTGTGGTGTTTGGATGCCTATGGAAGGTGGCACCTTAATTATGGTTGCCCCACATATTCAAAGATGGCCAGCCCTAAAGGTATCAAGGCAAAAATTATATTAAGATGTTAGAAGGAGTCGCCAACACATCAACCTGGCCCTGACTGTTAAGGAATAACCCAAGAAGACCAAACAATATGCCAACTGCACTAGCTAACCAACACCAAGAAACACAATCCACAAATTTTATGTCGCCCAGGTTCCCAAGTATTATTGGGTATAGAGAGCCAAATAGCATAAAGAAACCTGTCTGTAGTTTCACCCTCTCCAAGGATCAAATCTGGGGCCAATCACTTGCACAAGTATAATATACTGACCACTACACCACAAAAATAATGAAGAGTATAGGAAATAAATGAGGACTAGAATCCTTGAAGACATAATGGTGAAAAAAAAATATAAGAAAAAAGAAGAAACCACAACTACTACTAATAAAAAAATAATAATAATACTACATAATCATAATAATGATACATAATCATAAAGAGGAGGTGGGGCAATGATAACACATGATAAAATGAGGTTGAGGGCGCAAGTTACCTCCAGGGTTGGGGCTGTAGAATTCTCCACTGGGGTAGGAGGTGGAGTTGTATTCAAACACACAGCGCTGGTCCTCCACCTGATGGCCAGTGTCCAGCCCGAAGTCTGTCATGGGAGACAGTGAGGAAATATTCAAATTTACATTATGTGGCCCGCCAGACACAACAATTTACCTAATATTTTATAACATTCTAAGCGAGAATAATAATGGCAAAACTTTAAATTATAGAATTTTTCTACATCAAAACTATTACACTTTAGAAATTCTTATATTAATTACCCTTTTCACCTATTGACCAGCCAAATTAGAAGTGTCCATGCCAAGGGAAGAAGGCCAACAGCCCATGTTGAATCCTTCCATAGTTCTTGATAGTCTTGTTTAGGGCTCTTTTGAAGCCAGTATTGTTACCGATTCCACAGCTTGAGCCGAGAAACGGTTTCACAGGTCTTCCACCCTCTGGTGAGCTTAAAGTTATGTTCTCTCATGATGGTGGTGTGTGGTATCATGAAAAAGTGGCACAGGTTCATGTTTTCCATCCCTTTCATGATTCTGAGATCTGTCCTACTGTGTCTTGTCTGAAGAAATGACAGTCCCTAAGGTTCCCTGTCTACTTGAATAATCGAGAAGACAGTTCCAGAATCGTTTTTGCCAATCTGTGCTGCCCCTTTTCTAGGGCTGCTAAATCTTTCCATGCCTGTTGTATTTAGTGCAGTAATCCAGACTGGGACATACGAGAGACAAAGTTGAAGAAGCATTTTCCTTTTTTTGTATATGAAGGTACGCATTATAATTCTTATATCTTGGCTGGCTTTTATCACTGCTGCCCCTGTTTGATCTAGATATTTTCCTTATCAGTATCCAGGAAAGTCTTATGAACAGAATAATTATTAGGGTTGTTGCATCCTGCTTGCAGTCTTACATTTTGTAATGTTAAAAGGCATATGCGAGTCATGCAACCAACCATATGAACAGCTCGTGTACATCGTATGGTTGTGACATCATCTTGACTTTCTACCTTCCCAAATATCTTTTTGTCGCCCGGAAATTTGACACTGTAGCTAGATACATTTTAATCGATGTAATTAATGTTGATCACTAACAGCGTAGGTCCAAGGATAGATCCTTGTGGTACTCCGCTGAATATTTTTCCATTTTCAATATACTCCGTCCATGACCACTTTTTGTACTTGGAATCATAATATTTTAGGTTAATTTCACCTCGAAGTGCCGATCTTATTTCTAGACTGGCCAGATCTAGGAATTTTTTTTTTATACGACATAATCTGCATGATGTTTTGTGTTTTGGTATTTCTTCCACAGGTGGTAAATTCTTTTTACTTTTACTTGAATCCTCTTCACCACCGCTCGGCTCGTTAGCCGCTTGGACGATCGGTCACGTCCCTGTTACCCACTGTTGGCAAGTACTGGGCATGCACAGGCTCTTGAATGTACCTGAACCTGCTCCAGTGTTGGTCAAGTCTGGTCTCGAAAGAGCTCACACTCGGTACCGCCACAACACTTTCTGGCAGATTGTTCCAAGAGTTCACAACTCTCACTCCGAAAAAGTTTGCCCTCACAGTTTTCTGGACCTGCGGCTTCTTTAAATCTTGAGCTGTGACCCCTTGTTCGTTTCCTGGCTTTCCTTGATTTGTGATTCATCCATCTGGTCTTATTCCCTTCCTTCTCTATTTTGCAGAGGTATACATTCCTGTACTGTTATCTCAAGGATTTCTAAAGTTTATAAGTGATTCGTCTTTGTCTGATTCATCTTTAACGATACCACTTCCCCCAAGTAAATTCTCTGTAGTTTGTCCCTCAAGAGCTGGTAATCTCCATGGTTGAAGTCATAGCATTTCTCAACTACTTTCTATCAACTATCAAAGATTATTTTCCATCTTAGTATATAGTGGTTGCTGGCTGGAGTTAGTTTCAACCTGAAGTGCACCGCATCCACCATTGCCTCCTCACTCACTCACTGAAGCAAGTCTTTAATGTGGATGAGACTGGTCTCTTTTGGAAGAGGATGCCTGAAAGGACCTATATCTCCAAGGAGGAGAAAAGAGCGCCAGGTTTTAAGGCAGCAAAAGACCGCTTGACGCTGCTGCTTGGCGCTAACGCTGCCGGTGATTTCAAGCTGAAGCCTATGCTGATTTCTTGCATTGTCAACCCATGGGCTCTGAAAGGTTACTCTAAGGATCACCTTCCTGTCATTTACAAGGCAAACAAAAAGGCATGGATAACCGGCGCCATATTTAGCCAGTGGTTAAACGTGTACGCCGTCCCTGCACTGAAGGAATACTGTGCCATGGAGAACCTTAACTTCAAAATTCTTCTGATCATTGACAATGCTCCAGCTCATCCTCCCAATCTCGACGACCTGCATGGCAGTGTAAAAGTTGTATTCCTGCCTCCCAACACAACATCACTGATGCACCCTATGGACCAAGGCGCCATCGCCGCATTCCAGGCGTATTATTTATGCCGTACCATGGCCCAGCTGCTCAAGGCTACAGACGGAGAAAATAAACCAACGATCCGAAAATATTGGCACGGCTTCAACATTCTTCATGCAATTGACAACATTGGCAAGGCATGGGAAGAGGTTTCAGAAAGATGCCTGAATGGTGTGTGGCGTAAACTGTGGCCCGAGTGCGTCAACAGTTTTACGGGATTCACGGACTTAGTCCCAGCTGTGAATAGGGATATCCTCAACTTGGCTAGACAGGCAGGCTTTGATGAGCTGGAATCAGAGGATAAGGAGGATATCCTAGCATCCCAAACAGAAGAGCTCACCAACAAAGATCTGCAACAATTAACAGAACACAGTCCCGTTGAAGACGATGACGACGAAGAACCTCAACGAACGCTAACTTCAAAGAGGTTGGCAGAATCGTTGAACATGTTCCAGCAAGTAATGCAAATGATTCTAGATGACGACCCAAAAAGAGAACGTAGCTCAAAGGTTCAACGCAGCATTGAGGACAGTCTTGGTTGCTACACCCAGATCTATAAGGAGAAGATGAGTAGCATCAAGCAGTCAACACTGGATTCAGTTTTTCGTCGCGGGACGGCAGAAGCTTCTTCACAACAGCCGGCAGCCGGGGAGGAGCAAACACCAACGGAGAAGGAGCAACCAGCAGCGGAGGAACCCCAGTCAGAACAGACAGTCGCAGAGTCTCAGTGACTCACCACCCTCCTCCGCTCCTGCCATCCTCGTTCGCTCCCGCCATCCTCCTCCATCGCTCCACTACCCACCACACACTCGCTCTGCCACCTCCGCCCATCGGTGAGTACCAATACAAACTTAGTACCCTGTACTGTAGTTCTATATACTATTCTCTCCAGAAATGGCAATAATTTTCTGTATATGTAACCTTTATCGTGGGGCAAAGGGAGGCTCAGGAACGTAACTCCCGTATTTTATCTATTTCTTATGGGGAAAATTGATCCGCTTAACGTCGTTTTGCTTAATGTTGCGTTTTCAGGAACGTAACCCCGATGTAAGCGAGGACTTACTGTAGTTGTAGTGCCATTCTATATTCAGTGTCTCAGTTATAGGGGGTATGGGTCGATGGTCGGATAACTCAGAGGGTACCTGCTGAGAAAAAGTTTGAGAACCCTGAGGTGTAGATGATTAACTGTTAATCATATTTATTGTAAAACTGGTCAAACCCATACTGTATTTCCAAACTAACGAATTCATATCTATAAGAATCTCGGTAGTTCAGGAACTTGTACAGGACTCACTCTGGAGGAAGGTGTAGGTGGCCTTGTAGCCTGTTACATGGGGGCCAGACGTGTAGCTCCTGAAGACGAGGCTGAGGTAGGACCCCGATGACATGATCGGACGAGGGAGGCCAGGTCCACAAAAGGTTCCCACCTTGTACTTTGTGCCCTCAGATATGGTCACAGAGTCCATGGCATCACAGCTGAATGGAAAGCAAGAAATGTCAGGAGGAAGGCTATTAAATGCAGTAAAAGCATTCTATGAGAACAGCAGGGCTATTTTTGCATAAAAAAGAACTATTGCAATGTGGGAACGTATTGTCGTGTGTGCCAACTGTCGGGAGTCTAGCACCGGATCATACCCGGTTGTGTATGGTGATACCACTTACTATATAGTATATTGTTTGTAGTACTGTTTTTACAGCATCCACTGTATAACTGAAAGATGCGTGAGAACTGTCTTGGCCAAGGTGTATGTCACTGGATGGTGGAGGGTGATAAGCTGTGCACACATGCGAATGTGAGGACGACCAGTTCTGAGTTTTCAGAGGGTTTCTCTTCAGGCTAAGGGTTTTAAATGTATTGATGTTTATAAACACTTTTTTGGATTTGGGGGTTTTGAGAATAATATACCCTTTGTATCCAAGGGTTTATTGATAATCATATACTATACCCTTAAAAGAGTTTGCCATTATGACACCAAAAAATGTTTTTTACATATATTTTTTTAGTGTTCACACAAAGGGTGATAGAACTATGGAACGGCTTACTATTCTTTTCTTTGTTACTTTATTATCTTTCTTGTCCAGCGTTAGTACAGGAGTTAAGTGAAGTACCCAGAGGAACCTGCCATATTTGATAATGTCAAACTAGATAACACCTTTCTTACATCTGACCCGAGTTCACAAAACACTGAACGCTGACAACATTACCTCATCCTCTACGCAATGGAAAAATAATGGGGGGAGGAAGAAAAATATAGAGGGATACGAAAGAGGAAAAATATAAAGTTGGTATTAACAAGTACGGCAGTTCGTAAAACGATACAAAATGACAAACTAAAGCTAAAGTTGAAGGGAAAATAACAAATACCATCCACGGAAAAAGAAAGTAGAAAGAGAATACAAAAAAAATGGGGAAAGAAGGTGAGTAAAGGTAAAGAAATACTACAGTATCTTTTACAGTATACTGTAATAGAAAAGAACACGACAATGGCGATCTCATTCACTCACCAACTACGTATGATTAAGTAGGGCAAATCACAGACCAGGTGACGTTAAGGAGAGACTGAAGCACACTGGAGGGAAATTGGATCGTGTGGAAGGAGTGAGAAGAGAGATACAGGGGTAAGAAGGAAAGAGGAGAGGGAAGGATGACCGGGAGAAAGGAAGAAAGAGGAAGACAGGTTATGGTAGTAAAAAGGAATAATTGGAAAATGGGAGGATGAAAGGGTGAAGGGAAGAACAAAGACGAAAAGGAAAATGAACGGTGAGAAGGAAATGGAGAGGGAAGAATAAAAAAAAATAAGACGAGAGAGAAGGTGAAGGGAGGATGATGATGAAAATGGACGGGAAAAAAACTACTCCGGGAAAAAGAAAAAAAGAGGTTATATGTAGAAAGGAGTATGTTGTTTATATGTATAAAAGAGCATCTATTCTCAAGTCTAGAAGCCGCAGTTAAGACGGAAGGCTGATAAGATATGGATTTTCCTTTGTGTGGTGTTGAGACAGTTCCATTTAACTTTTCAGTCGGAGACACAAAGGCTTGAATTCCTGGGTAGTTTAGAACCTCGTTTAATGACGGCATGTATGTGAGAGAGAGAGAGAGAGAGAGAGAGAGAGAGAGAGAGAGAGAGAGAGCATCCTCACCTCTATCTGCTACCCATAACACCAATATATACTCTACCCTCTTCACCCCATTACCACTCGCAACCACAACCATCATCCTCACGTCTTCTCCCCATCGTCACCCACACGACATCACTAGCACAATCCCATCTTCAACCCCAAGAACCATCTCCACAACGATACTCTCCGCACCACAAGACACCACAGTTTCAAAAAGTTTTATCTCCGTGTTGAACAAGAAAATCTGACATGTTTCCCCACCCTGATAGGAGTTTTCCGAATCTAAACAGCTGGTGGCTTCCGGGGGTCCACGGATAAGCCGGTTCAAAGCAAGAAGTGTAGAGTGGCAGGGAAGGTCTGATCCAGCAAGTGTATGTACTTGACGTTCACGAAGTCTCTTGAGGAACTTCCCCAAAAGTTCGCTATGTACTCCATTATTTGGCTTAATTGTATTCACCGCCATGACAGCTGTAACATGTAACTTGCAGCAGGAATCGTAAAAACGCAAATAAGGCTGTTCTGCTACGTTCTTTACGACTCCACCCCAAGAAAATCACAGCAGAAATAGTAAATACAGTAAGAGAGCTAGATATACGCAGAACATGGTTAAGTGAAAACTGATGTTGTGAATGTGAAACGTTATAACGGGCTCTGTAAACAAACATGAGACACTTTGTAAATACCCTGTACTGTACTGTATATGAACTTTACTACCGATTCGATGGCAATACTGCAGAATGAAATGAACAACATATTCTTAAATTTACTACCCATGTTAAATATCTTACTACCGAGTATTACATTCCTATATTAAATTAAGTAACAATGTTATTCAATTTCTGATTCATAAACAACACTGCGAAAAATAACTGAGCAATTTAATATTACAACTTTAAATAGAACTAACAATGTTCTATTTTCACTTAAAACTGAATGCATTAAATCTTACGAATCCTGATTCAGTGGCTATATACAATTTAAGTAACCAAAGAGTTTTACACTAATCACTAATATTGATTCGGTACTGAGGGACAGGAACAACAATACAAGACTCGGAACAGTCTTTGACAAAATATATTTGAATCCTGTTATCACTAAAACCTTACATTTCTACCCAGTGATGAAATCGAACATCATGTACAGGTGGCGATATACTTAACAAATCAGAACTGCCTTTTTTAAACTTTATTACCATTATTTTACCCACTTTCAATTAGTTTACGTTTACAAATCTTTGTTTCGTAACTTCGTTTATTTAGATTATAATTCGACCAATTAAAAAAATATATTAATATTCTTGATTCTTACTGTATTTCATTGCAAACTATTCAAAATATACGATTTTCTGGTGATCACACTGAATAACGCATATGAATGATAGGCTTCCTTGTTGATTTGATCGAGGTTTTCTGCTCGAGTCCGATAATATGGTTCACTAAGAACGAAGGACACACACAACACAATTAAAACATATATTCTAATATTACATATCAATATACTACGTTTGAACAAATTATTCTAGAAACGAGTGTCGAAAGGATTTTTTTTAAATGATAAATGAAAACAAAAATCACTGACACACACCAACTATCACCCACTTACTTGCGGTTAGAGAGATTGAGCGGGTGGTAGAGAAGGAAATGTGAAAAGACAAGCTGAACTCGGTGTTGCTGGGGCGCCTTGAAGTCGACGCGACACTGAAGGCGGGCTGGGTAAGGGTGGGGGAAATTGGGACTGGCTAGTGTACCGTTCATGCCACGCCACTCACCACCCTCACCGCGCCATGCTTCAACTACCTCGTTACAGCTGAACACTGCCAGGAAGGAGAAAATAATTGAGTTTAGTATTTACTAAAATTATTCCGAAAAGTCTGGTAATATAGTGGAATGTTTAATAATATTCTTAATAGATATTAGTACAGTATTATTATCCATTGGATAATAATAATAATGTTTGTACCCAAACGCATTTATATAATTCGTTCATATTTTCCACAGTTGCATTTTTGGTGATATTAACTAATAAAATCGGTACAACTCTTTATTTTAATTAGATTTTTTTCTCTATCTACGATCATAAATCACTTGTAGTGGACAGGGCATGAAGGATGAGGGAAACTGGGGGTAAACACGGCGAAAAACTGATCATATGACATTTAAATCAAGTCTCTACATGCTTTGTAAGCGAAGAAATTTAATGTTTGCCGTAAATATTCCACCGAAAATTCTGGCCTGTCAGTGAGTGTTGTCCTTCGATCGTAAACAAATAAATTCTGATTCCGGTCTCGCTTAAAATGTTAATAAACGTCGGAGCTTCATTTCGGAGGTTTTAGTACCTGCTTCATTATTTTTTTAAGGCTTCACTATACACGTGGTGAGTCTATGAGCCATATTCACAGTCATTACACCACCCAACCGATCAGGAACACCATCGGGTGTGGTTATTCAGAGACGACACCGACCCGAAGGCAGTCCCGGTGGATCAGGTTTGCTATCAGGATCGTTGGAACATTTCATCGGGAAGGGGTCCCCACCCTATGGCATTCCCGATGAATATAAAATCCCTTTTCACCCTCCAAATTTTGAAATATTGAGATAGACTACATTCAAATTTGATTGAAAATGAGTTTTGTTTCCTTATACATTCAAAGATTATCAGCTACTTACAGGTGTTAAATAATCCCAGCAGATCATGATGCTGCCGTGTACAACCAACACAGCGCCGCTAAATACTCGAGGACTGCAAGTAGTATTTTAAAGAAACAAAAACATCTATTAAGAGATATATCAATGCACCTGCATGTTTATGTACACGATAATTGATGTTCCTAGAGCAAAGACTGTAAATTTAATATAGCAAGCGCAAATTACCAACGAAATGACGATGTTTAAAATCAGCTTATAGTCAGCCTCCTCACAATGCAATGTGGCTCTATTTAAAAAATTGTTTTTAAGTGGCAGTGCAGCTGAACCAAACTGGGCACAATATTCAAGGATAGGTAACAGATGAAGCAAAACAGAATGTAATAATATTAACACCCTGAAACATTAAATCATTAACAAACTATAACAATTTTGTGAAATGCTGACGAAGCTACAGAATAAATTTGATTAGGTTAGGTTACGAATTCTCGGCTAAATAGCCACTTGCTAAAAGGTAAGGCCACATTTCAAGATGTACGAAATTGTTCCTTTTTCTGGTGTAACTTTGCCCTTCTTCTGAATAAGGCTAACAAGAACACTGCGCTGTTTAAAAGACAGAGGAACGTGGTTGTTTGTGGCTATTCATATTTCCATGTTTTGTACCACCAAGTTTCGCTTTCGGCTAGCAGTAACAGCAAAGGTTTTACCCACAAATTTTAAGAAGTGTGTTAACACGACGGGATTACTATTACGCTGGAGCCACAATGGACCTAAACCAAAACAATAACAAGATGGATGGCTTTAAAGACTTTGACGATGAATTCTTAGCTCTGACAACTGTGAGAAGAAACGCTTGTGGACTCGTTCCTACTGGTGAGAAGGAAGAAAGCTTGGTCCTGAACTCAAAATAAAATAAAATAAACTACAGTAATATCCCTTATTAATACTAGTATCTATATTTTGAAGATAAATTTAAAATATGTATAATTTAAAGTTTCACACTATTTTTTTTTTCATTGTGAAAATAAAGATAAATGCACGTAAACGGACACGAGATTTGTAAAAAAAAACAATTCAAATTATCTGCTGTAGAACACTTTCTTTTTACTATTTATTTCTGTATATAATATAACTAGCTGGACGATAACTGTTCATTGCACCAATACATAATAGGCTACACATTTTTTTAAACTTCTATTATACTACAATGATATCGCCCGAAGGGTAATTTTAACCTGCCACGTGGACTCGTTACAGATTACATACATATTTCGGTCAAATACAAATACTGTACTCAACTTACACGAGGGAACTGAAGGTTCAATGTCATATAAACTATGAATATATTTACCTAACACAAAGCATAAATGAGTACGAAATACTAATATTTACACGATAGACTGCATATCATTAGGAGTTGCTTACTTTCCTTCACATCCACAGTGAAACAATGGTTTTACACTTGCGTGTCGCGGGGCTGAGTTCCGAAGGAGTCTGTGAATTGGGTGCGACTACCTACTCGATAATGCCTGGAGATATGTTGACGTCTTGGGGTGGGTCATATGCTCCTTGTTATGTCGTGAGGTGTCGACTCATCATCCCCCCACCCTTGCTTCACTGTACACTCGTCCGATCACTCTTCCTTGCCGTTTGTCTCGTGGTAAAAACAATATTGGTTCTCTTTTGACTCCAGAGAATTGCCGGTAGTTGTAATCTCAAGACCATCACGTCAGGCTGGAGAAATCAGCTGTTGACAGGTGAAACTCCAGCCGCTAGCCCCTGAAAACTAACCACTAAAGCTAAGCTAGAAGCAAAAATTGTTGGTACTGTACAAGTGCCCGTGTGACGCCACCTTAACCTAAGGACGATAGTGAGCAGTGTAGTCACACCATGATGTCAACAATTAAAAACAAAATCCCCTTGTATCAAAATTATATATGAAAGGGAATTGTATCTGGAAAAAAAACAAATGAGATAAGACGTGTTTTTTTCAGCGGCCAGGCTTTAATATTTGACTGATGCTACAAAATCCGGGTCCGGCTCTATATTTATTTACACTTGGAAGGCGAACATGCATATCCAACATCCAAAATAACCATTTCCAACGGCAAATATGAATCAAACAGTTAACCCAACCCAACAATTTTATGTTCGACAAGCTGTAGCTCACTGCGCATACGTATGACATAAATCTGTTACCAATATGTTAATAAGGAATAGCCCAAGTTTGAATGTAAATGGAAGTGTTTATTGTATTCCATGTAGCAAATGTAATTGTAATTATGTAGGACAAACAGGAAAAACACTGCAGCTCAGAATCAAACAACATAAGTATAATATCAGAACAGCATCTGAAAGCAGTGCCTTGTTTGTTCATGTTAGGAATAATAATCACCCCATTGCTTGGGAAAAAAGCTTAGAAGTATTTAAATCATCTTGTGTCACAGAAAGACTTCTGGTTGAAGCTAGTTTGATTAAGGAATTAAAATCAATAAACCTTAGTGATGGTCAGTTCAAAACTGATAATATGTTACATAAATTTATTTGTCAGTGGCCCAAGGTTAAAAATGCTTTGAAAACCTTTGATCTAGATGTATGATAGTTATTTTGTGGGTCCCTTATTTTTGACCTGACCTGACTAGTCACGTCACCCCCTTCTCTTAAGCTCCTCTACGTGTGTGTTGGTGTGGGGATTAGTGGATGACATCATTATGACCTGACCTCATGTTTTTAAGGTCACCCTGTATATTTAAGCCTCTCTCTGTCCATGTAGTCCAGTTGCCTCTGAAGATGTCTTGAATAAAGACGAAAGCTAAGGTGCTCCGTTGTTTCCATTTTCCCGTGTGATTTTATCAAGATTTATCTTATCCACGTTTTCATTGTGGATTTACATGAAATATATATATATATATATATATATATATATATATATATATATATATATATATATATATATATATATATATATATATATATATATATATATCAGAATGAAATATACTGTATACCAACTTCAGCATAGTGGAATACACTGTAATGCCAACTTTAGCATAGTGAAATATATACCAACTTTAGTACAGTGAAATATATACTAACTTTAGTACAGTGAAATATATACTAACTTCTGCATAGTGAAATATACTGTATACCAATTTCAGCATAGTGAAAAAAAATGTATACTAACTTCAGCTTTATGAAATATATACCAACTTCAATATAGTGAAATATATACCAAATTCAGCACGATGAGACAAGACTGGAGTTGACACGGCCATTCAGACCAAGCGTAGCATGATATTATAATTTGGAAATTTTAAACCTACGAAAAAAGAAAAAAGTAAATCATAGAGATCCTAGATGTTACAAAACGCTTTTCATAAAATTACAAAATATACGTTAAAGGAATAACCGTTTAATATTATTTTTAAACATTGAAAAGTGAACATCTACCGTCATTTCAAGATAATGATATGCAATATTTTCAGAAATGTATTATTTTTTCCAGGCAATATTCACAGAACTTTATCAAAAAGGTTTCGCAAATATTCACAGTCACATTATGAAAAAAAAAGTTTCAATGTTGTATTCACGATCACAACAAAAATATCCAGTGCAATATTTCTTGTTTGAAGCCGCTCTCGTACTGTATATGTTCCGCAGCGCGATATATAGAACCTGCTGACCTGCCCTTCTATCGTTATTATGAAAAACTGCGCAATCATTTCAGAAACGAGTTCCTGGACGTCGTGTTTGGCACTTGGCAGCGTTCCATACATCGCCAGGGTCCTTAACGGAAATGAAGATACATTGTACTACTTTCTCATAAGAAAAAAATATATATATGTTTATTCAGGGCCCATTTCTCCTTTAAGAAATAGCTTGGTTTTTATCAAGACCTGGAGATGTTGCGATAAAATACGGTAATGGATACAACTAGATGTGCAGCAGATGTATTATAAGTATTGCCGAAAAGGATATATTAAAAATCTTGAGAAAATAGATGTAAATTCAATTTGCAATCAGTGAATACCATCGGTACAAACCTAATTAACCAATTAAATGAAACAAGGGTAAATTTTACTGTGCGTATCTACACTAATTTTTATACTTACAGTATTTTACTGTACGTATCTACACAAATTTTTATACTTACAGTATTTTACTGTACGTA